TTCACTACTTTTAATTTGAGTGCTCACTTTCTTTTTCAGTTCTTTAATAGCAAAAAATTCCTAGTTGTAAAGCAGCAGAAAATGCATGGAAAGCTAAAATCTCTCATTCTCGAGAAGATAATGGCTTAAAAACTGAGATACGTAGGAGTTTGTAAGAGAAAATCTGGAAAGTATATGAGAGAAGTACCATTGAAAGCAACAATTTTAATAAAACTTCCAGTTATATGCCAAACTCTTCAATACAAAAATGACAAGAGAATCAATGACATTCTTCAGTTCTCCCTCCTACAACACAGTTTATTCTTTAAAGAAGAATAAGAAGAAGAAAAAAAAAAAAGGTGTATCCAGCAGGCAGTTAACAAAGTACACTTGGCTTCCCAGATTAAAAAAAAAGGATGTAAATTTCATTCTTGTTGGGAAGCAAATTTTTGTAATGTCTACTTAAACAATGTGTACCCACTGACATATAAAGTGTGGGTCTGTAAATACCTCCACTTTTTGGTATACCTAAGGTTAAAATGAATTTTTATAAATGAAAAATCTTTCTTGAAGCTTTCATTTTAGCTTTAATTGAAAGCTAAAGGATTAAATTTACTATTTTCCAGTAAGCAAAATACTCTGTAGTGTATTTCAAACAGAAATTTTGTTGGTTGGAGTCAATTCATTTTTAGTGTCCTTAGTGCCATCTGTCATTCAATTAGTGCCCTTTTTTTAACCATCTGTCATCACTGAATTTTTTCTTTACTTTTAATAAGAGAAAAATGAAATATACTTTTGAGAAACTTTATTTGATGAATATTAGCCAATTTAAAGTATAATTAAGCCGATTTGAAAAAAATATTTACTTTAAGTTGAAAATAATAGAGAAATGGATTTTTAAAAACAGTAGTGGTGAATAAGTGTCTGTCAAAGCTCATCAATCACTTGTCAAGTGCAGCTTTCAAGCAATTTATGAGGTGTTGACATGTTTATTACTGTTCTACAGAAACTTCATCTGTTAAAACATAATTTAAGAAAATGACAGGTGAACACTTTGATTTTTAAGGAATCAGTAATCTTTAAAAATATTGGAAGTCTTCTCCGTAATCTAATTTTAGGAATGTTAGGTTTAAATTTAATATAGCCATCAATATTATTTTCTGATAATGTTGTGTATGGTTACCCATGCATTCAAAATGGGAACGTTTATACACACAAAAAAAAAAAAAAAAAAAAAAAATTATTTAAAAAACTTGGTGCATGATGATTTGTAATAAGCTTGTCAATTGTCACTTCATAAATATAGTCTTCACTGAATAACTTAATAACCTAGTAAAGAGGTAGGTTTGAAGAATTTTAAAAAGATTTCTTAAACTTTATTCATTGAAAATTTATTCTTCAGACTATAATCTCCTTAATTATAAAAAATTAAAAGCTTATCTAATAATGTCATAGTTTTATTGCAGTTTTTATTTTACAATTTGGAGCAGATTTTTGGTAACTGAGTAAGTGTTTTGAAAAAAATGAAGAAAAAAAATGAAGGACTCTGAAGAATGATTTACATTCTTCAAGGAATCCTGCATTTAACTAATAAACAAATTTAGAGGATGGAATTTAATTTCTAGAAATTTCATGAAATTAAGTAAGTGGGGGTAACAGATATGTAAAAAAAAAAAAAAAAATTAACCAAGATTTTCTAAAAATAATTCCAAAAATAAATTCATTCAATCACTTGTGAATAAATCCTGAAAGTTTCATTAAAATTTGACAATTATTATTATTAGATTTTTCCAAGAATTTCCAAATTAATGTTTTATTTTGCTGGAAAAAGCTCAAAAATTTCTATAACCAGCTCTGTTACACTGTTGATGCATTAAAAAACAAATTTTTTTAACCAAAATCTCAAACATGTTTGAATGGAGTAAATAATTTAAAAAAATAATTAAAAATATTTAGGTCTTTCCTCTTAATAATAAACATTTTGACAATAAAACTTTGTTTTTATTCAGTTTAGAGCCTTTTTTCATCAAATTAGTGGGTATTTTAGTTATCTGAAAATCTTTTTAAAAAATTATGTTAAGATCTTGTTACTAAACAATTCTTTAAATGTAAATTGTTTTACAAAACCGGATATATGGACAATTGGTGAGTTATACTTTTATGCAAGAATCATTTGAAACTTTAAACAGTTTGGACATTGTCAACAGGTTAAAAACTAATAATAAATAAGGATGACGAAAAGAAATACAAGTGATTAGTTTTTTTGTTTTTTTTTTAAAAAAAAAATGGAAATTTCAAAATAGTATTGCTTTGCCATGATAAAAATAAACTTCTTCAATATTTACTGAATATTATTTTAGTAAAGCAAGAAAGATCTATTGCACATAAAGATAATATCTCAGATCAAAAATACAATATTATCAGGGAAGATGTAGGAGGGGGATATATATATATATATCTATTTGAACAATAAAAGACATGCAAATAAAAATGAAGCATTTTTTAAATAATCACTCCTGTTCTACATTGATGAGAGAGAGACATAGATGAAAAGGAATTCGATAAAAGAAGTTTATAACCTTATAATCAAAATAGAGATTGTCAATTATCAGATTAGTTGCTTCTGAAAGCAGAAACACTTAATCGTCTAAGCTTTGATATAAATGCAGTTAGTTTAGTTAAAATTCTTTTAGGGAAATAAAATTATTACCACTTTGGATAGCCCCAGCAAATAGAAAGATTCAGCCAGAAAGCATGCACATTTATTAAAATAGTCTGAGAAAAATGTTAGAATTGATTAGCTGGTATAGTACATCCCAAATACAGTATTTTGTGATCTTTTGGAAAAAAAAGTCTACTGCATAAAAAGAAAAGAGCATTTGTATAATGCCATTAATATCAGCAATGTATCTATTGTATTTTTCTATCAATTATAATTTGATGGGTCAGTTTAATAAATTGAACACTTAATGTAGATGTGTATTGAGGAAGACATTCAAGTTTTTCTTTTGCTTTTAAGACATCGGAAAAAATATTTTTTCTTCTCTTTTTAAATTTAATATTGGAAATTAAATTCTAAATAATTAATAGCAGTGCACATTTCTTACCTGGAAGACATTATACTAAAAGGGTAAAGATATCCTGAAAGGCAAGGGAGGTGCTGCTGCTGACTATAACAGAACAAATACAACAAATCACAGAATTCCAACAAGTTGTTCTTTTTAGGTTTTCTTTCAAATTGATTTAATAAGAAAGGAATTACTTCATAACAATTATGTACGTCTGTACATGCATAAAATATTTGAATAACTGCAAATATCAAGTTTACTTCTACTGGGAAAGTAACATACAAACAAAAAAAAAAAAAAAAAAAAATAACAACCCAACTGTTAACATGAATAAAAGATCTGGATCTTTTTCATGATACAATAAAAACAAATAATTTTCATTTTTTCTAAGGCTTAATTACAAACTTTTCCCAGTGTCAATAACAATGATTTGTATATCTTTTTTTTTTTTTTAAAACTTAATTTATTATTATATAAACATATTTAATTTTGTTATTACTGAAAACCAAACATATCACACACACACACTATATATATATATATATATATATATATATACATACATACACACACACACACACAGGTACTGAAGAATTCTCTGATTTATTTTTCAAAATCAATATTTCAATTTTGAGAAAGGATTAAAGAAACTTGAGAAACAATATATCAAGCATGTTGAACTATGGGATGAATATGTGGGATAACATGTATGATAAATGGCTCTAGCTCCTTCCCTTCTAAGTCAGGGCAAGAGCTTTTCAGCATAATTTTCACTTCACTATATATATATATATATATATATATATATAAATTTGATATGGAAACAGAAATGTCATGAAAATTTGTTTATCAATTTAAACTAAGTTTTTAAATTTTTCAAACAATTTGTTTTTTCTGCTTAAGTCTAAATATAAGTGATTTTTTTCTAATCTTAGGACACATTTTCAGAAGATAATATATTAGAAAAATGTGCATTAGATAAAAGTGTGTCATGTATTAAAAGTCAATTGTATTTGTTTTCATATTTACAAAAAAACTGTAACAAACCCTCAATATTGAGTAGAGATGTGCCAAAAAAGATAGAATTTCAGTTGAAAATTCATGAAGGTCAGAAATAAAATTAAAAATGGTGAACTTCAACTTTTGGTTTAGTCCAACATTCTTCTATCAATAGATGCGATTGCAAGAGGACTGCATAATTATCACAAGGAAAATAAGGGGAAGTAATATTCTCCCAAAGTGAATTCTAAAAATTGTGGACAAAATAAAAAAAATAAATAAAAAATCAACTTATTAAATAAATAAAAATAGAATTTACATTTAAAAATAAAGAAAATGTTTACAATCAGCTGAACAGTAAGAGAAATGACACTGAAAGACTAGATTCTTTTGGATTAGACATGGAATGAAAAGAAAAATAGAATCATTTTACAGATTTTTTGAAATGTGAAAGAAAAGCATATGGCTGTGCTTTTTGACTAGAATTGAAAATTTCAATTGGTAACAACACTTTTTTCTGCTGGACTCATGCAGTTGAGATAAAATAGAAAAATGATTTATTTGGTTTGTTTTTATCTTAATTTGGACACAAAGAACTTTCATTTACCCCACCTCTTTCAGAAAATATATAAATTAAATATTTGTATGTATGAAATATATTTTTGTAGAATGGATTCAAAGTGTAAATGTTTATATGAATGTATGTGCACTTACAGTTGTATACAGAAATGCACTCAACAGCATTTATTTATAATTGTGTGTGTATGTGTGTGAGAGAGAGAGAGAGAGAGAGACTATTTATTACACATTTCCCTTCCTGGGGAAAATCAAAACATGTATTGAGGTCCCATTTCCACATTGGACTGCAACACCCAAAATGCAAGGAAAGGAAGACCAGACAAACAAAGGTGTGTGGGGAGAGGGTAGACATTGTCAGGTGGAAGACAACCTACTTCATTGTAGAGCACAATTGGAATGCAGTTGGCAACAGATACATCGCTCATTCATGGGTCGTGGTGGGATAAGATCAAGATCCTCATCATCAGGTTCAAGGTCAAGATTGTAACCATCTTTGATTAGTTGCTCTGTAATCTCTCTGTGTGCAGTTTTGGACAGATGGGCAGTGAAGTCATCATCTTCACTACTGAAAATAAAAAGATTACAATGTTATAAGTCAAACACTTAGGTCTTTATTATAATTAATATTAAATAATTACATATTTATGTCCCCTGTCATACCAGGAGTAGAACTTATAAAACCCATATCAAAATCAAATCTTTACTATTATTAGGTTTTCACTTGCGAGTCTTTAAATACATTTTCTAATTTTCATACTAATAATTATTCTAGTATGGGATCAGTTTATTATACAATAGAAAACCAAAACTAAGTCCAGTAGAATCTTATACCAGATTTCTTTTTAATAAGCAACTTATGTTTTCAATCAATACTCAGGTTGCTTCATTTTGGAGCAAGAATTAGAACTCAAGACACTTAAATGGCTATTTAAATTTCTTTATGCTAGGGGGTCAAAGAAAATAATGATATTTTGACGTAACTAGTAGACTTGGTAGGATTCTTGAATACAGTATAAAATAATGTACTTAGTAACTTTTTGTTCAATTTTTTTAGTTGCTTAAACCACGCTGTTAGTTGTAGAGTTACTTATAAAAAATAAAGTAGTAGAGTTACTTATAAAAAATAAAGTAGTAGAGTTACTTATAAAAAATAAAGTAGTAGAGTTACTTATAAAAAATAAAAGTAGTAGAGTTACTTATAAAAATAAAGTAGTAGAGTTACTTATAAAAAATAAAGTAGTAGAGTTACTTATAAAAAATAAAGTAGTAGAGTTACTTATAAAAAATAAAGTAGTAGAGTTACTTATAAAAAATAAAGTAGTAGAGTTACTTATAAAAAAATAAAAGTAGTAGAGTTACTTATAAAAAATAAAGTAGTAGAGTTACTTATAAAAAATAAAGTAGTAGAGTTACTTATAAAAAATAAAGTAGTAGAGTTACTTATAAAAAATAAAGTAGTAGAGTTACTTATAAAAAATAAAGTAGTAGAGTTACTTATAAAAAAAAAGTAGTAGAGTTACTTATAAAAAAAAAAAGTAGTAGAGTTACTTATAAAAATAAAAGTAGTAGAGTTACTTATAAAAAAAAAAAGTAGTAGAGTTACTTATAAAAAATAAAGTAGTAGAGTTACTTATAAAAAATAAAGTAGTAGAGTTACTTATAAAAAATAAAGTAGTAGAGTTACTTATAAAAAATAAAGATAAAATAAAAAATTTCCCTATACCATAAAAAAAAAAAAAAAAAAATGACAGCATATTTTATTGTCCTTTTATGTGTTTCCACAATTGAGTCTTTAAATATATCTTTTTCTTAATTATTACTGTTGTATTTTGATATTTCATGGAGTCAGTCTTTTTAACTCTACACTTAGCAAACATTTTTGGGAAAAAAATTCAGACATAAATTTAAAGAGCTTGGCATTATCATTAAAAAGACCCCATAAAAAAAAAAAAACATGGAAATACCTTTAGTTACTAAAGGTATTTCCATGTCAAGTTTAGTACAATGAAAGGTTACAGATGTGTATGTGTGTATATATATATATATATATATATATATCAGTGAACTACAGGAATGAATGACTTGATGAAGAAAATGAACTTTATCTGTAGTTTTCATTTGTTCTTTTTATCGGAAATTTTGGTCAGTCCTTGTGTTGGACAAACTGTCTCTTAAGTTGTTATTTAAGATAGAGACTGGATAGATTTATTTGAATTTTCTTGGTCATTTTGACAGTTTTATTGGTTCCTGGAAAAGGGATGTGTCTGTGTTAAGTGTGTGTTATCATTTAGTTATGGGAGTGAGTGAGTATGATGAGTGTAAGTGTGTATATTAGTATGGGTGTGTGTATAAGTGTGAGGCCTCAACACCTCCACAAGCATATCTGTCCTGTGTGGGTGAGAAATGTGGGTAGGGGTTGATTCGTGTTTATATATTAATTCTATCTATGTTGTTAAATTTGTGATTAAGCCTGTCTAGATGGAGTGTTTTGAGGCACAGAATCCATTTATCTTCATGGTCCTCTAAAATTTTTCTAATGTTATCTTTCCTGAACTTTTCTATTTTCTCAATTATCGTGAGCTTTTAAAATTGTGTTTTTCAAGGCAGAAATGTTATTCTACAGGTAATAATCTTTTGTGGGGAGCCAACTTAATCTGATTCCAATAATTATTAATTCTGTAGTGGAAGGGCCATTCAGATTTCCCCATATATTGTTTCTGGCATAGTGTGCATTCTAGGAGGTAAATTATGTTATGACTTCTACAGTCAGAGTTTTGGTAGATTTTGAAAGTAGATTTAGTGACTGAGCTAGTGAACAAATTTGTGTGTCTAATGTGGTTACAGCATAAGCTCCTTTTGTTGTTACATGGTTGGGAAAATTCTGTTTGTTTTATTACAGATTACCTTATCCCCTGAAATGTGGTTACTTCTATAATTTCCTTTAGGTTCTTAGGCCAACGATATGCTAGAAGGCTGTGTTCCTCAAACAGTTTTTTTAGGTTTGGTTTGAGTTGTAGTATTTCCCAGTGACTTTTGATTATCTGGGATAGTAGAAGAAGAGTGGGGTTGAAAGTGTTTACTAGCGGGATTCGTCTGGATTTATTTTTAATCTTGTACATTAGGGTGTCTTCTCTAGGTGTGGAAATTGCTTTATTTATTTGTTCCCTGATTAGGTGTTGTTTATAGCCATGTGTTGTGAATTGATGATTGAGATTTTGAATGTGTTTATTTAGTTCTTCATTGTTGGAACATATCCTTCTGAGTCTAAATGCGTGTGAATAAGGAAGGTTCTCCTTAAGGTGTTTAGGGTGGGAAGACTTAAAGTGTAGATAGTTGTGGGTGTTGGTGAATTTAGTGTGTAGTGTTGCTTGTAGTTTTCTGTTTTTATCTATGTAAATGCAGGTGTCTAAAAATGTTACTGATGTTGTGGAATTTTCATAATCAAACTTAATTGTGTCGTGTACTGTGTTTGGGGTCATGAGGAATTGAGTGAGATTGTCGTCACTGCCCATGTATACAAAGAATATATCATCAATGTATCTTGCATAGAATACATAGAAAAAGGAGGATTGCTGTCCAAATATATATATATTTGGGTAACAATCCTTTTATACAATACAAGTTTCATTAAAGACGACTCAGAAGGTACTGAGATTAAGATTTTTATTCAATTTTTCTTTTGTTCATATATCCAGGAAAGAAAACATTTATATGAACACAAGAAAAGTTTAATAAAAAACTTAATTACAATACCTGGTTAGCTATCCTTAATGAACATATATAAATATAAAAGTGAACACTGAAACAGCCTGTCGCCTCTAAGGGTTGACTTCAATGTTCACTTTTATATTTACACACGCTCTATCTCTGATACTGAGCACTTTATCCAATAAATATAGCACACCTTAAGAGTATGTTATAAGAGTATAGTATATACTTTAAGTATATTTTATATATATATATATATATATATATATATATATATATATATATATGTGTGTGTGTGCGTGTGTGTGTGCGTGTGTGACAATTTAAAAATTGTAGTATTTAAAACTTTCTATAAATGTGGATAAAATAATAAATTCAGAGGCATCCTTGAGTGTAGAAAGTTGACATTTTGAACCCTCAAAGAAGAACTTGTAATAGCTTACTCTTTGTGAGCAAGTATTGAACATGACTGCACAGGACTATGAATTCATTACATTCATCATCATCCCCTTGACTTTTGAAATCGTGGGGGGGATCCAAATGCAGAAGCTACAGTGAATCTCCTTCACAACGGTCTATCAATGGCAGCCATCAACAATTCTGATACAATCATTTCTCTTGCAGCAATTACATTGACATTAACACAAAAATGGAATTTATGATTCAATCACTTTTACATTTTTTTTTTAATTTACGTATTTATTTTTTGAATTAAAATTTGTTTCAGCATACTTTAGAAGACAACTTCTCAAAGGAAAGAGATTGCCACTAGTTAGAAATTAATGCAATCATTATTGACAGAGTAGCACTATTATACTATTACATGAAACAAGTAAAGAATTATTTCATAAGATCTTGTGTAAAATCAGAATGCAGATCTATATTAGTGAGACTTGTTCAGATATATGTAATGGTTAAGAAAAAAAAGTGCATACCAATGGAACTATGGTTATGAGTTAAAAAAAAAAAAAAAAATAAATAAATAAAATAAAAAAATAAAAGAAATCTTACAGACAAAAACTACAAATTCTTGCCTAACCAAAGCTGAGTAAGTCCTGCTAGAATAGTAAATATTTAATATGCAATTTTGTTACAGATTAAATAGAATAAAGTAGTTGAAATTTGGCATAAATTAAGAATTAATATTAAACAAACTGCATTAAAATAGCAATTTCAGTGTATCATCACATAAGCTCTAAACCAAACTCTTCAAACAAAATAAAAACATCTTGCAGACTAGCTTAAAAGCTACAAGTTTTGAATATATTCAATAATACTGGAGCCTCTTCTTCTTGTGACTACTGATCAGTGTGAAGCCAGATTAAAATTGACAAGAAAAAAAATAAGGTAACCTTATTTGAACAAACCATCCTAGAAACACAGTTCCGATGAAATAGGACAATGGTATATCCACCCAGAGATTGTAGTTCATACATCAACTTTTCAACCTAGTATTGTTTTGGGTTTTGAAAATAAGGGAAAATAAATTGGACAAATTTTTATACATCATATTTGCCTGGATGTTCCAGCCTTTGGAAAGGACAGTTTAAATCTTTGTCTACTCTTTCTTGGACATACCTGGGCTCATAGTAGCTGATCTCCTAAAGACTGTTCAATATGGCTAATGTAATAAAGTGGTGGGGTAATAAAAGTGGGCATTACAATGAATAGCAATTAAAAATGCAGGTAATCAAGTTTCTCTAATAAATTTACTTATTTCACAAAAAGATATTTATTCTTGAAAATAATAAAATAAAAACAACTTACCTATCATCAGACATAATTGCAACCAAAGGTTGCTGATCTTGACTAAATGGACCACTGCTGTCATTTTTTGTGGGCACAGATAATCTGTCCAGAGAAACAAATTCAGTTTTTTTTTATAATGTATTTTGTTCATTAAACCAATAAATTTGTATAAATAACTTTTGTTATTTGTATAAATTTATATAAATAAAAATTTATATTTGTATAAATAACTTTTAACAAAATAAATTTGTTTCTTAAAACAATAAATATGAATGCTTTATAAAATAAATTCTTCAATCTGTTCTGTAGGTTCATTAAAACAACAAAACATGACAATCCATCCTATATAAAATTGGTGTATTTAGAATAGTTAAATGTAAAATAACTATTAAAAAAAAAAAAAAAAAAGAAAAAAAGTCAGGTTTACAGAAAATCAGATGCATATATGTAACCCCTGTAGACTTCCTGTGGAGTATAGGGCCAGAGTCTCACCACACTGTTGCTGTGGTGGTTTCCATAGCAAATAGGGTTTTGTAGGGTAGAGTTGCCAATCCCACAGCCAACCAGATTTGAATTCAGAGTTGTCATTCTCCTAGTCCAGTTGGCAACCAAAGCTAGAGAGATCAGTATACCCTACTATTAATCTGGGTGCAGAAGAGGTACTTTTCCAAGGGTATTTGTGTGAAAGTAAATGCAACAGCCACAGCAGGTATTTGAACTCAACACACTAATTTCATGTTTTGCACTGATGACTGCTACAATATACGCATATCCACTTACTAAAAAAATGAAACAGTAAATTGAAAATGTCCTAAATTATGTAATTTACTTTGGTTGTGATGGGATTGTTAATGCAAATTCAAAAGAATGGAAACTATATTGAAACCAAATCAAAAGGTGGGGAAAAAAGATAATGAATTTAGACTTAAAATTTTAACAAAAAGCATGAATTGCACAGTAGCACTGCTTCATGGGTTATGTCATAAATATGTAGTTATACAAAAATTTACAATTAATGTATTTACCTGTTTCTTGACAAAAAGGATCGTTTTGGCTGTTGATCGATTGTCAAGCTTTGTGCTTTCCGTGCAAGTTCTCTCTGACGCACTAAAACAGAAATACAAAAGTATAAAAAAAAAAAAAAAAAAAAAATCAAGGGACAAACAGAAGTATTTGTCTAGTACCAGTTACATATATCCCAAGAGACTTCACACCATTCCTACTATCAGCAGCATATAAAATATGAGATGATTTATAAGTGATTTTTTTTTCAAGTGTGTGTGTGTGTGTGTGTGTAAAATAGTATACATACATGTGTGTATATTATATATAGTAGATAGGTTCACCTATCATCTGATTCACAGTCCACCCCTGTCTTTTGAACAGGAGTAGAGGTTTATCCCTTGTTCCCTGTTTTCAGTTCCTTCTAAAGTCTTGTTATTCTCTCCCACCCCTAGTAGCTCCTTGTGTCTTAGTGGCATTATTGCCTTATTTGGGGCGAATTGACTAAATGTGTGTGTGTGCGCGCACACACACACACAATGTAAATTAGTACATACAATGAATTTTCCTTTCCAAAGAAGTGTGGCATTTACTTAGATTGCCAAAATCCTTGACTGGCATTCACAATCTTAACATAAGATATGCAGATGACAGTGTTGATAGCAAAAACTCTTACAGAAGGTAGTGAAAGAAAGAAAGAAAGAAGAAAGGACATAGATGAGCCTAAAGTGTGAATTGGAGATACCAAAATTAAACAAGTACAAAAATTTAAGTACCTAGGAAATTTTTTAACAGAATGGAAAGCGCAACACTAAAATCCGAAGGCGTATTGGGATTGCTAAAGATTCATTCCCAAAGCTAAGCAGAGTACTAAAAAATAGAAAAACTTTCCTAGAAATAAGTAAAAAAAGTAATAAACTGTTATGCGATATTTGTCCTCCTCTATGGCAGTGAGTGCTGTACAATCTCCTCAAAGATGATGAAGAGACTTGAAGCAACAGAAATGTGGTTCTACAGAAGGATTCTGATGATACCATGGACCAAATATGGGGGTAACAATGAAGTTTTAGGGAAAATGAAAGCAAAAAAGAAAATTTCTAGAACATATAATGAGGAAAGAGGGTTTGGAAAATTTGATACTCATAGGACAGATTGAAGGCAAGGGGAACAGAGGAAAACAACATACAACCTACTTAGTGAGCCTGAGTAAATGGATGATGGAACAAAGATAAGGAGAAATAACAAAAAGACAAAATTTATTAAGAGCTGTAAAGGACAGGGAGTTGTGGAGAACCATGATCATCTACATTCTGAAGGGACACAGCACATAAAGAAGATCTGGAAATAGTTTTGAATATCAAGTTAATTGGAAAAATTTTTGAAAGTGATGATGCTAATTCATTTGCATTTTGTAACAGTTTTCCATTTGCATTTAAAACAGATAATAAAATTATTTTATATTATATAAAATACAATTATACAAATACAAATACAGGCCTCAAGAGCCATTCAAGGTAGAGGGTTACAGCCAACAGAATGGTAATGCTGAATGTGGTGTGCGATATGAATGGAAGAGAAGGTGGGGATAAGAAATGAAGATAATAAGGATAAAGAGGAAAGTTGAGGATTAATCCTTGAAGAAATTAAGATTGAAGTGTTCATGGATGCCATCCTGCAGATGTCCGTTCCCCTAAGTGATAGTTCTTGGGGAAAAAGCTATCTGAGTAGATCTTTCTTCTTACTAAGGAAATGAGGATGTTTAAACACTGAGGCAGTGTTATGGGGAGTCCTTGCTCTAAAGAGTGGAGGCCATCTGAACATTTGCCATAGAAATATCAATAGAGAAGTGACAAGCTTGCAGTGTTGTCTGTAGGAAAGAATTTGTAGAGTGGAAAATAAGTCATAATCAATAAGACCACATAAACAAATTTGAACTTTATCAATGCTGAAAAGTGAGAATTGAGTAGCTCCAGTCCAGATATAACAGCAACACTCCATATTTGTTAAAGGGATTTCTAGATATTTTATGAACAATAGTATAAACCTACTTCAGTAAAAGCAGCAATAAATGTGATGATTGGCAAATAAAAAGTTCTTAATTTAAAAAAAGGAAAAAGTCTGTTGTATTTTCTGTCAAATATATTCCTTAAACAGGGGGAAAAAACATGAGGGATGTTTTGAAAGTAATGTCTTCTATCGATTTTCAACATAGAACAGTAACACTAAAATTTTAAAACAACTTCAAAAACCTAAACTAAAATGACAATTCTTGAAAAATATATTTGACAATGTAATTCCATGCTCCCTCTTTGATGTCTTTCAGAATCAAAGAATGCCAACTTCCACAAACAAAATATTTTAGTGTTTTCAATATGAAATTTTTCTAACATTTTGTGCTATGGCTGGAACCTTGCCTTAAGTTAACAAATTAATATACATGATATACTTGGAGAGTTTAGCACAGACTATTAAAATTAAACACACTGTTAAGTAAATATCAGTAAAGATCAATCAAACCATTGCATGTATGCTCAGTAGAACATTAGTGTCTCATGTGAATGATTTTCATCATTTCTATCTAATAGCATTTCTTTTAGAGAATCATTTACCCTAAACTATATCTATAAACTTTTTTTTTATTTTGATGATTTTCCAAAAAAGAACTTCCTCAATGAAAGTAACAGTTTCTCATATATAATCACCATTTTATAATGAGTGAGTTTTAATTGCTGATTGCTGCCATTGATAGACTGTCATGGATGAGATTCAACATGGTTTCTGCATTCAGATTCCCCCTATGATTACAAAAGTCAAGGGATGATGATGATGATGACAGTCATATCAAAAAATACTTTTAAAGCATGATACAGAATTTTCTCAATAATTGTAGGTTAATAATAATTTAAGTTTAACATACTTTTCTCCAATCAGCGACTATTTTTGTGGTTGCTCAGCCTTTACTTAGGTTAGCACTGATACAGAAAATTTAAAAATTTAAGTTTTTCTTATTCAAATTAATTACAAGAAAATTAAATGACACAAATAATAAACCCTTTCTTTTTTGTGGCTGACAAAACTTTTGATACTATAAATATTTATAATAGCCTAAGAGGAAGAGAGAGGAGAGAGCTTGTAAATTTCAACCAGTTCAAAAATTTTTTTTAAAAAGCTTTATTAACACAAAAGTCCATGTAATCTTCCTTAATGGGAGGGCAGCACCTTTATAGTAAAGTATTTAATTAATGAACAGCCCATGAGGCTGAATAAAAGTACAAATTAAATTTTTAAAAGGAGGAGATAACCTTTGACACTACAGCCCAAGTTTAAAAGTTCAAGCTCAGAGTTAAAAAATAAATAAATAAATAAATAAAAAATAAAGTCTTTGTTTATAGGCAAATTCAGCTGCAAGAGTATTTCTTTTTTTCTTTGCAGATCTGAATAGGAGCAGGACAGGAAGAGTAATGAAGATCTACCCCGCCCAGTTTCATTTCAACAAGCACATTTGCATCAAAATTCTTTAATTATTTCAACAGTTGCCCATTTTTTAACTGAGAATAATGACAATGTCATATAAAATACCAGTATTTAGCCACAGGAATTTTTTTTTTTAGTAAATTGGTTATTATTTTTCAAAAATAGAATCTAGATTTTTATCTTTATCTTTCCTTTGTTAAAATAAAATATAGGCTGAATTCTTGAATATAAGATTAGAAAAGTAGGTAAAATTTGATAAACTAATGGAAAAAAAAGAGAAGTTAGTTTTGTCAAAGTTTTAATCTTACCAGGAAGATAAAAAGTAACAAAAGAAATATATACATTACTAATATGCTTGTTAGTAGTATACCTACTTATGGTTTTAATGTTTCCTACACTGCATAAAATACTGAGCATTATTACTGGTTACTTTTCTAACCATGAATCTAATAATGCTTCTATTCAGTTGGAAAAAAAACCCCGTCATTCAATAAGAATAAATATCAACTTAATGCCAGATTTTTAAACATTACATTTTAATTACAGTATTTAGCCACAGGTTGCTTTTACTAAAGTCAAAAATTACAACATGTCAAAGTGAATAAAAGAAGCAAAATTTATTCAATTTTATCATTTTTACAGACCAACCATTTCTGCATCCACCCTTCCATTTGAAACAGAAAATATATGTCATTTCTCTGAAGGATTTGTATAAAGTAATGATAATACTGTTTTTGTTTTTATTAAATCAAGCATATAAATCAGAAAATTGATAATTTATTTTTTTTTTTTAATATAAAAATGCTATTTAATCCTGGATTATTAATGAACTCATTTTTATTTCTAAATTGGAACAGAACATAATAAAATTTTTATAGTTTCTAAAAGTAAAGGAAAAACAATTACCAAATTAAATTAGCAGCAAAATAATAAATTTTACAGAATATATTTAATTTTAACAACTTCTGATAAAATATATTAAACAGAGTGCAGTAAGTATTATGGAAACTATGAAATGATAACATCAGAAAAATAAGTTTCTTTCAGGGAAGACAATGGAGCAAAGCTTGAGGGAAAGGCAGTCACATGACAGGGATTAGAAGTTAAAAATGAACTGCTTTCCTAATAGTTGATTAAATTTTTAAACAAACAAAATTAAAAATGAAGAAAAATAAACTTGATATAAAAATACCCAAGGTACTTGATATATTTTATCACTTTAAATGTTATTTTTACTGGATACCCATATTTGAGTAGATACTCCTTTTATTTATCAAATGGAATATTTGTTTATCATTATCTATCAGTCTGAATATTCAAGAAAACTTAAAAAAAAAAAAAAAAAAATGCACTCTCCAGCTGCATTTGAACTTGTATCCCTCTTTGAACCATTGTTAGATTTGATGTGCTTTAGACAGACTTGGCCACGAAGGGCATCACCAATCAAGCAAGCCTGAATAGTGCCTTACAAGCACAAATCCATCCAAGATTCTCAAAAGTTTGTATCTGCTCAGTTCTAAAGAAGTAATGTATTTATTTTATCAGATTTTATCACTTTAAATGTTATTTTTAGTGGTTAATCATATTTGAGTAGATGTTAAGTTTATTAATTTTGTATCAAAAGATTTTATTAAAGAAAATGATGCACCCTTCGGTAGGATTCAAACCTGCATCCCCTCATTGCAAGAGAAAACTTTATTTTACTAAACGGAGCATCTACTCAAATATGGGTATCCACTAAAAATAACATTTAAAATGATAAAATCTGCCAGATTAATAAACAAAAAAATCTATTACTTATGTGTGTGTGTATATATATATATATATATATATATATATATATATATATAAGATTCTCTCTTGAAAGCTTCTGTAATTATAATTAAAACATGGATTAATGCCATTTATAAAAGTGTAAGGCTAAAATTTCTTAATCCAAGATTTGAATGATTTTAATTCATTGCCTTTCAAAAGAATTATGGCTTTCAAACACTGGCACAAAATTAAACCAGTTCAAAATTATAACTTACAAGTTGGCTTGTTAAACTTGGCTTAATACCACAAAAGAATTGATTGTGCATTTGGCAACACACAAGTTAAAAGCAAAATGTCAAGTATTGCCAACTCTATAATTAGGTTCTTTAAGACAATTACATGTAATCAATTGATCAGTAAACAATGTCTGTTTAAAAATATCTACCATTTACAAAAATAAGTAAAATAAAAATCTATTAAAAGCAAACATCCGTATAAAATGTCAGCGAGTGAAATATTAAAAAAAAAACTGTTTACATTTTATTATTACTAGTTACATAACTATTAAACAAATACTTCAAAACTTACATTTATTCTCATTCTATTGACAGAGCAAATATTAAAATACATAAAATTCATTGAAAATTATTTCACTTATTGAATGTAATATCAATTATGTTAATGCAAACTACTTAAGTAACTCATATCAGGTAAGATTTATAAAATAAATACATAAAAACTTTCATTCACTTGAAGGGTTCTGTAGATGATATGGCAAATACTAAAAGTATATACAAGTCAATTGATGCCAAAATCTCCATAATAAATTTTGTATGTTTACATATATAGTGAATATAATATTAATAATTACAATTTATTATCTGTGTTGTTAGGAAAATTATACAAAATATTAACTTCAAATATATGCCTCTACCATCTCAGAAGAATTTGTAATAGCCCACTTTTGGTGTGTTTTAGGATTTAAGCAAGAAAAAGATTCATTTACAGGACTGTGAATGAATCAAATTCACTAAAGTAACACAAATACTTATAATTGGAATTTGATCATTAAAATTTACAACTTTTTATCTAAAATTTATTCGAGCACTTTTCACCACCCACTGTTAAATTTTCAAAATCAACAAAGGATTTAAGATTAAGAAGTTAACGCAAACATTACTGACAAAATTATATATATGCATATTTAAATAGAAAGAATTAATTTTAAACAAGAATTAAATTCAATTGACAAGGTCTGTCTGTTTAATTTGTATTTTTGCTATTCTGAAATATGTTGTACATCCAGATCAAAATTGCATATAAATTTGTTTGATAAATTAATATTTATACTGTTTCAATGAAATTAGAATCAAGTAGTTAAAGAAAATGTTTCAAAAAGAAAGACTATCTTGGTATTAATACCAAGAGAATGGCAACTGGAATTAGCAGTTTATTTGCTTTCAGTCTATGGCAGAATAGTTGAAAAAAATGAAGAACAAAAACAAATCTGTGTTTAGTTCTTGACAAGCAAAATGTTTACAATGAGAGAGGAAATTAACAACTGATTAAATGTCATCTTTTGGTCCTAGGCACCCCACAGGAGTTGAAGCAGGCAATTTGTCATTACTCTGCTAACTAGATATCAAATCATCATTTTTTGTTGAGATTATATCCAGCAGTCAGGGGACTCAATTGTAAAATTGTATAATCAACTGCCTTGATGGGTGGCTATAATCTTCACGGAACACAGATTACGTCCACTGGTATTTTATGGAGGAGTGAAAGTAAAAACCTATCCATGGTGACATCATATGTGATAGTTAAAGGGAGAGAGAGATAGAGGTCACACCAAAATGAATGCATCAATATTTTGCAGTTGTTTTTTTTCTTTACACATATTAAATATTTTATACACACCTTAAGATACCATCTCTTGTGGTTAAAGATATTTTATATAATGTGGATTGTTTCATTTGTATAATAATAGCTTTTAGGATTTTGAGTTTTTCCTTGCATTGGGTGGTGTATAGTATTTTGGAATTATCTACCAATAATTGTCTTGTGTTGATAGTTGTATTTAGATTGTGATGTGCTGATTGATGTGTGCATGAATTGCACTGAATTTTGACAGATGACAAGTCAATCTATGAGAGTGTGTGGTACATATGTTTTTTTGATTGTTGGTATTGGAGATGTAATCTCCCAGAGAATATGAGAATTCATAAATATTATGTTTTTTTTTTGCGGGGAAGGGGGGGGCATTTTTGGGCTCCCATATTATTGGTAATAATTAGATTTTTTTAATAGTAAATGATAAATTTGTGGTGTTTGTTGGGATCATTAAGTAATATGTACCAGTAAATTATATTTTTAATAGTTTTTTTCATCCTGTTTATAATTAGAGTGCATCTGGTTATGATGCAATAAGTTAATGTGTTTATTTTTGCTTATATCATGGCAATAACTTATTTTTTTCTAAATTCTGTTAAGATTGATTTTTATTTGTTTATCAACGATATGGCTATGGAAGTTATTGTTGATAAGTATTTTCTTAATGATGCTTAGTTCTTTATAAAAATATGTCCAAAGAAGAAATTACTTTGGCACAGTTAATCATGGTTTTTTTTCATAAAAGTTATTTTGTATCTGTGAGGACATTCATTTTTGTAATTGAAGAGACACAAATTTCTCTTAATGACTGTTTTATAAGGTAAAATATTAAAATTATGACTTACTGTGTCAGCTAAAATGGCAATGAAAAGGATTCTATTATTAATACTTAGTTAAAGCTTTCTTCAGGGATTTAAAAAAAAAAATCTTTCATACTAGCAAAAAGCCTAGACAATGTTGTTGATTTAATGACCATATATGAAGGACTTTGTGAAATTGTTGAAGACCGTTTTCTATATGTCATATCAAAATTAGAAAGTGTATATTTGAGAGGTGAACTCATTACTATACTGTCCGTCTGAGATGGTTGAAAGTACTTGAGCAAAAACAATAGAATAAACGTGAACTCAGTTTTTTTTCTACAATTTCAATCCCAATATACAACATCTTTTTCAAAAATTGAAAATATACAATGAAAAATTTAACAGACTTTGTTGGTTCAATTTAATCAAACTTGTTTAGATGAATACTTGCAACACACACACAAAAGAATCAATAAGTTTATAACCTGAAAGTTGAATTTTGATCTGAAATTTTCACTGTATAATGTGATTAATAGGGAAGCACAGAGTTAAATGCATTAAAAGAAAGATTATATTGAAAAATGATTTTTATCATTAGGCTTCAGATTTCATATATATTGCAAGGTACAAATTATAAAACAAAAGAAATACCAATTTTTTTCTGTAGTTCTGATGCTTTTCGAAGAGCTTTTATATGAGCAGTATTCTTTCCATTGTTTGGATTTTCCTGCAAAGAGAAATAAAACCCCATAATCTAAATGATCAAGCTCCTGTTCAGTATGTATTAATATAAACATAAATGTTTACAGCAAAAACAAAATTCTGAGAAAAGAATTGATTTAACAATACAAAAAGAAAAAAAAAATAAAGAGCAGGGAAAAATTCAAAATATTGCAAGGCTATTATCAACAGGGAGAAATATATTTCCTAATCTTATGAGGTTTATAACATAACTGAATAAAGAGAAAGAAAGAAATATACACACATGCAAATTGAAACCCACCAACACTTATATAATTGATATATATTGGTAAACAATCTGCTTTTTTAAAATAAATAAATAAAATAAACAAAACAAAAAATTGAAAATAATATCTTGCCTAAAAGCTACCTGGAAAAATATAAACTCAGATTTCACATAATCTGAATGAAGACTTATTCATCATATGTATATTTAAAGATAAAATAATTATTACAAGTTTAGCATTATTTTGCTGTTCACACTAATTGTCAAACATTTTTTTTTTTTTTTTTACATTATAGGAATTCCACAAGAAAGTTATTTAACCTTTATAACTGTATTATTAACAAGTATCACTTGTTTTTCTATTTTTTTAAGAATTTATTCAAAGCCCCTCAACAGCAGTTGTACTGTTGCTGATTTTAGTCAAGGTTTGTTGCCATAAACGATGTGAAAACAATTATTTCAGAGTCAATTTCTCATTAAGTGAGGAGAGATTTTTTTTTTACTTAATTTTTAAGAAAATGAAAATTCTTTCCTCACTCTATAATAAATATACGTGAGTTGTTTTACCTGGGAATAAAAAATTATGCCAAGGTTTGTAATCAAAACAAGCAGTTAAAGCACAGCATATTGATCAGTGTTTATTCTACCATTCAGAAGAAAATTGTTTTATACTGAATTTTCTTTTTTTTCAATGTAAATTTGTTATTTAAAAAATTATATGTAATTTTATGTAGTCCAGATTAAAGGATAGGTTTCTCCTTCACAGAGAAACCACAATATGTATGTATTTTTACTATTGTCGACCAAATACAAGGCCTAACAGCCACTCAAGGCAGAGAGTTACTGAGGTCGTTATAGAGAAGTAAGAAGTACACATTACAAGGATATGTAGGATATATAAGGATTTACCCAAGACTTGAAGAAATAAAGATTGCAGTTGTAAATTTAAATTAAGGAAGTCTGAAAAGTGATGGAGAGGGAATGATATTTTTTTTTTTTTTAAATCAATTCACCTCAAGCAAGGTGATACTGCCACTAGGATGCAAGGGGTTACTGGGAATGAAAGAGAATGAAAAAACTTTAGAAGGAACTGGAAACCTAATCCTAAATAGGAAACAAGGGATAAACATCTACTCCTGTTCAAAAGACGGGAGGAGTGTGAACCAGACAATAGGCATGCATATCTACTACAGCTTTGTTCTCCACATGAATTCCTAGTGAAAGATAGCTGCTTGGCACTTCTGTGAGATTATCCCCTCCTAGCTAGATGAGTGTCTACGGGAGTAACTTGTGAAGATTAACAGTTCTTCTGCCTACCCTTTCTTTTTAGCATCATATATTAATCTGTAAAAGACAATTGGAAAATGTATATTCATTACACAGAGGATTCTTTAGGCTCTGATATGAACCAAAAAAATCTTAAATGTGCATCAGTTGGTATCCAAGTGATTTCTATAATTTCTTTTCTATCATTCCTCTCAAATTAGCCATCTCTATGTGAAATCTCTTATCTAAAATTTGTATTGATAAATATACCACACCAATTGTCTGTTTTATATATTATTTGTACATTATCACTATCTTCAAGTTGAAACAGTCCTAATAAAAAATTCTGCTGTATCAATCATGGGTAATGTTTTGGCAACTAGAATACTTTTGACGACTAATATTGTTCTGATTTTTTTTTTAATCAATTCATGACAAGCAAGGCAACAAGGAGCTACTCAGAGTGAAAAAGAATAATACTTGATTATCAAGTAATGGGTATATATTCATAACTTCCTATGAAAAAGGGGTATATACAGCTCTTGTGATCTAATACACAGGTAAAAGAGGCATCTCTATATTTAACAGATGCTCTTGGTTTTCTAGATCTGGAATATCTGGGTTTTTTCCTTTTTGGCTTTCTTAAATATTCTGTTAGCTTGTTTTACACATTGTACATTTTCTTGGTTTAATATAGATTTTAATGCACTACTACTATAACTTAAATTTGTCCTGGTTTGGGTGGCTAACCAATTAAGTTGACCAATTAGCTGCCAAGTTTCAGTTACTGTTTTTGTGAATATTGTGTTTTTCAAGTTTCTGCCTACTTCTACTGGCATATATTTTAAATTCTTTACATATTTGTTCTGTCTTTGTTTAATATTCTCCCCATTTTTCTTTATGTTTCATCCTATATACTGGAATTTTGCAATTTTTTCACATTTAAATTCAAATAAATGATGAAGTTTGTCAATAACTCTGGTCTGAAAGATGTCTGCTCTTTCAAGGCAGAAATTATATCCTGCAATTAGTTTCGAGATTGTATTTGGAAACTCCTGCTCCTAATTTCCATAATTCCTCCTTGAGCATCAGGTATCAGGATCCTGAAGCATCACTCAGACCATATACATATTTACAGAAAAATAGAAGGCTTCACCCACTTGCTATTGCTTTGCAAAGTAAGATATATTCATTACTTGAAATCTTTGAAACAAAAATTTTAAATTAACATTTCATTTATAATTTGGCTTGTTATAGTTAAGGAAAGTTTTACAAATAGATGCCAACTTGTTGAAGGCCAAGTAAAATGCTAATTTCAAATACTTTTTGAACTATATAAGACAATATTCCCAAACAGAACTATTTTTGATATGAAAATCAAAACAATTCTTGAATAAAAGAACAGTAATGAATGACAGTTAATTAATGAAATTTTTTTAAAATCAATATGCAAATTAGTTAAACCTGAAGAGTGATACTGCCTAGAAGTAGATAATATATAATACAGATATTGAGCTTTTAGTGTCTACCTTACTCTTTTTGAGTAGGTACACATCTACTTATCATCTCTCAGTTGCGTCTTTGGGCAGAGTGAGCTCAGGAGCAAATCCGTCAAAGGAAAGAGTCGCAACTGAGAAAAATTATACTGAAGAGGTGCCCAGCTCTGGGGAACAGCTGCCTGAGGCTGCGCCCTCCCAATGCACCAGAGGGAGGGATTGGTGCTCGCACCGAGGCCAGTGCAACCAACAGTTGCGGGGACTGAGGGGATCCCCACCTAAAAATAGACCTTGTGTCACATCTCAGCCTAGTTGGGGGACAGAGTAAATACCGTGTGTAAATTACTCATTCAAGTAGTTTCTAACATTACTTATCTCTCATTTGCCTCTCTGTCTTTGAGCAAAGTGTGCTCAGTCAAAGGACAGAGTTGCAACTGAGGAAAATTATACTGAGAGGTTCCCAGCCTTGGGGAACAGCTGCCCAAGGGCATGCCCTCTCATAGCACCAGAGAGAGGGATCAGTGCTCGCACCAAGGCCAGTGCAACCAATGGTTGCAGGTGCTGTGGGCAATTTTTGATCCTTGCCTGGGTGTTCGCACTTGGGTCCCCACCTTAAAAAAGACCCTGTGTCACATCTCGTCTCAGCAGGGAAACAGTAAATACCATATGTAAATTGCTCTCTTGAGTAGTTTGTAACACATTATTATCTCTCAGTTGCATGTCTGTTTTTGGGCAGAGTGCATTCGAGGCAGCTCTATCAAAGGACAGAGTCACAACTGAGGAAAATTATACTGAGAGGTGCCCAGCCCTGGGGAACAGCTGCCTGAGGCTGCAACCTCTCATTGCACCAGAGAGGGGGAATCGGTGCTCACACTGAGGCCAGTGCAACCAACGGTTGCAGGGGTTTGGGCAATTTTTGTTCCTAGCCTGGGTGTACGCACTCAGGTTCCCCACATTAAACCGATCTTGTGTCACAACGTGACTTCGTGGGATGTCAAGTAAATATCAAATTACTATAAAGTGGAGCTGGGGCTTTTTAATCTCAGAATTCATGGGAGAATTGAGCTTCAATTTTGCATTTATTCATGTAGATTCTATAATACAGGTTTTACTTATTTAGCTATTATGTTTCTCTAACTCTTCAAATGTTGAATGTACAACTAATTCTAATTTCTATTTTCCCATCTTTACATTAATTTTATCTTATAAATTGTCCACCCATGAAATAAAAATAATTGTTTATAAGGAAAATAAGGATCAACATACATCAAATCATCTTTAAATTAAGTGACAGCAGAAGAATTGATGTTGAAATTTTAAAAGGTAAACTTAAACATTAATTCAATACTTAAATGCAGCAATCAATTTTGAGTTCTTCTGTAGTTTGATGCCTATTGCATCTACTCCTCCATAGCTATTGTGATGATGGCCAAACCAAGAGTCCTCCACAGGAGGTAGCTTAAATGTCACCTGATAGGGCAGCTTTTAAGCTAGTTTATAATAAAACATGAACTGCAATTTTGGATACAAAAGGAAAATAAGAGTTATTCCCCATGAAAGCAATGATTGTTTAATATATTAATATATATTTTTAACCTCACATAATCTGGCAACCTTGAATCTGAGCTCAACGAAAATCGTTCCCTGTGCCTAACTTTTCTAGGGCTTTTGAATGAGCTATGAATCACTGAAATCGGACCAGTAGGAGCAGAGGAGTTGCTTGGACATACACAAACACATATATAAAGTACAGTGTATGTATAAGATAATGGAACCATTTTTGTGTGACTGCGCTATATTTATTTTAACTTGGGGATGAATTCACATCTTTTTTACCATGACTGGTAGCATATTTGGTGATGAAGCATCAAAAAACTGTCTGCGTATAATTTTTCTTAGTTGTTTGGACATAGCAAATAGTGTTAGTTCTTTGATAGTGGCTTTCACTAGGCATTCATTCTCTGGTGTTAGATTAACACCTTTTATAAATCTGTAAGC